TTTAACGTACCTAAAAATCAGGGGCGTTACAAATTGTGCGTAGTTTATTTTGTATTGTTGAGCTATATTATTTACTTACTCGCAAATTTAGGTGAATTTTTATTTGTTTTGGCTCTGTAAGAGTAATTCAATGCCGACAACATTGAAGAAAAATTAAATTATATGTAAAAAAATTATAAAATTTTAGTGCATTTTTTGAATCCAGCTAACAATTCGCTTGAACCGCTTAATATAAGGTAGAGCCGCCCTTCTAATCGATGCTTCACCTAGTCCTCTATCACATCTTACCATTTAGAATATTGTTCAATAATTTGTTTTTTGCCTATACTATTCGAGATTTTTTCAATTACATCATGAATTTTCAAAACAACACAAAATACAATATCTAGGATATAATTCAATATTTTTGGATCAATCATCACAAAAATCCTACTCCCTTCATTCCTTTTTAAGTGTTCAATTTCATAACTCCAACTTATTAGATATCATCATTAAGCCTTCACATTAACTTTTACCTTTACTTTCTATAACTACCCTCTATAGTGACATCATTGTTACACTTAACTCATTAATTTTCAAAGATGAATCTAGTTTTAGGGCCAGGCAAAATGAAAAAAGTAGGTACTTTTTCCACTAATTTTACAAATTGGACACTTACTAAAGAACATCTTGAAATGAAATATTGAACTCTAATAAAGGAGCATAGGGAGTATAGTAGATAAGTGATTGTATTTATTATTTTAAACTTTATGGTCCATTCTAGGGTACAATGGCAAAAAAAAAAAAACTAATAAGGTTTGTAGAGTCAAGAATGGGTTGGACTCACAACTTTCAAATCTACAAAAATAAGTCCTCTAAATGTAATATAGGTCACCAAAAGATATACTCCATCAGTCCCTTTTAAGAGTCCTACTTTGAAAATTAAACTTTTTATAGAGACATTATCAGTACACTCTAAAAGTTACAACTTTTCATGTTTACCTTCTATGAAGACATTATCATTACACTTTTACCTACTAATTTTTGAAAATGGAATATACTTTTAGGGACAAAATAGAAAATGTACCAACTTTTATCCATTAATTTTACAAAATGAACACTTATTAAGAAATATCATAAAATAAACTATTGAACTCTTAAAATGAGATGGAGGGGTATATGTTAAAAAAAATTAAAAGGGTGGGTTGCGGATACTGATCGATATTGTAAATGTAATATCCCGGGTTCTTAATTATTCTATACTTGGTATAAGTGTGAGGTTTATGTATAATTGTGTGAGTTATCAGGTTAATTAGCTTGGCTAATTGTGTGTTTGTGACTTTGTACCACTAGTTGGCTTTATATGTGGTGTATGGGATAGGAAGACACACGCACACTGGATAATTTTCCCATGACCTAATAAAAACAAAAACAATTCTACGTGTTATTCTCTCCCTTATTCCTATCTCTAACATTGGAGACGGAGTTCTACGCCTTATTCCTCTGTTCTTATCACCGCCAGAGAGAGAGAGGGAGAGAATCGGAGTAAAAGAAGAAGATGATGAAAGGAAGAGGGGAACAACAAGAAGGAGTCTTGTGTGATCAAGTTGAAGATCAATTAGGTAAACTTTATGTCTGTAATGATGAGTTTTATGTTTTAATTGTTAGATTCAAGCTTTAAATAGTTTAATTTCAAGGTATAAGTGGTAGGAATCCTAGAAACCCATGTTTTGAGGTTTAGAGATGGGTTCTTGTTACCCTTTAATGGAATTCTTGAAAAACCCTATGCTTGTTGCCCTTCCAATGTTCCATAATTTAGTTGAATCATGAGTCTAGGTTGTTATTCTTACCTTTGGAGATTAATTGGAGAAGTTGAGATTGATATTAAAAGTTTTGAAGAGTTTAAGGTTCGGATTTCAGGAAAAAAATCGCATAACAAGATAGATTACAGCCCCAACTTCAGATAAGCATATCTTTGTCATCCGGACTCCGATTAGGGCAAAGTTTATATCGAGATTGATGCCCTGAAAGTCTACTTTCCAATGGAGGTATCCCAGTATCTAATTCCAATCCTATCAAATAGTATAGCCAAAATACCACAGGCTAGGTCTAGGGCTCGTACCAATTTTGGAGTTTTGTTAGGTTCTGACTTTCTACTCGATGGGAACTTTAGTTAAGCTACCGGGGATGATCTTATGAGAGTATTTAGAAATTTAAATGTATTTCATTGAATCTTAATGATAATTGTCTTATATGTTTATGTAGGGGACTTGTGTGAAAGCTCGGATCGAGGTGAGTGACCTAATACCTAAATTACATGATTTTATACAAGTTTTCCATTGCAAAGCTTTATCGTACATGTTTTGTAGTATGATATGAACTCCATGGAATATCAATGAAAGGTGGATATGTTTTCCTATCTAGTAAAGACATTCTTACAATGTGACACATAAAACGCTAGGGATAATGCCAAGACGTCGAAGCTTATCCACTACCGGGGACGCTTGGTAGCCACACAAGACTAGTGGAATATGCTTTATATCAAGGCTATTTTTCTATGACTGAATCTCTATGAAATGTTTTTATCAATGTCCATGGAGAGCATGTAAATATGTATTGGTCACTCTTTCAAGCGTTAGCTTATGTGTTTTCTCCACCTTTCAGGAATTAAAGAGTTAGATGGCGTGACACTTGTGTTGTGAGGTCGGATCATATGATTATTTCATGGGTAGGAGTTGTATTCTGATTACTTGTTAAATTATGTAATCATTGTAAGTAGCTTGTTAAACATTTTTATTAAGCACAGCTTTGAGGTGTAGTTTGGGAATCGTAGCTCTTTTGAAAGTGTAAGTTGTCGTTATTAGATTGCATAGGATAAGCTTCTGTTGGTTACGTACTCTTGTCCCTTCTTATTATATGATTGTGAGAAGTTGTATATTAGATATGGCCTTGGTGATGGTTTCACCGGCACTTTGTGATGGCTAAGACCTAAAGGGACGGGTCAGGGTCATTACAGTAAATCACATCACTTTTAAGGCTATGTTTGATGTCCGTTATAGATGAGCGGGTTTGAATACAAGTCTAGTGATCTATGAAAGATGATGTGGCAAAGAAAAATCACCCAAAATGGGGTAGTAGAGAACTCAAGGCCGGCTTTGGGAATATGCTGTGGATGCGGCACGGCCGGTCCTTGAGTTTTATCTAATTTTAGGAGCCCCCAATTTTTTTATACTCTTATTGTTTTATGCCTATACACAAACATAATACAAGACTTTTGTTACCCAAAAATGACAACTTAGAATGGGGGTGAATAGGGTTGCTAAGTAAAAATGCCAATAAAGATTATCTCTAGCAATCTTTTAATCAAAACGATATGCGCAAATAAAAGAGAGTGAGTTAGAGAGATAGAACCCGATTATAGTGGTTCGGCCTGGATTTGTCCACAGTCCGGCCTAGTCCACTTCTCCTCAAGCAACTACTTGAAGGTTCCTTTAATCTTCAAAAAGATTACAAGCAGTAAGTCTTGTGGATGTTTACAACGACCTTACACCTCTAGCTTTCCCAAGGAGCTAGCGCAACCGTAAGAGTTTTCTTCGAAAACCTCTCTCAAAAACAATAACACCCAAATTCAAAATCGAATTTGGTCTTCTAAGCTTTCAAGTGTTTGACTCAAACACTCGCTTAGGAATTACAAGTATGTGAAGAGATTTGAAGCTCTCAAATAACAGTATTAACCTCACAAGGTAGATATGAAAGTGGAAGCTCTCAGCTTATACAAAATCTCTCTCAAGATAGATATGAAAGTGTTGGCTTGATCTTTGGATTTCTTGCTCTTGAAATGATATGGATTGATATGGCTTGACTTGATACTCATCAATGTATTCTTCAATCCTTATATGATGATCCATCCACCTACTAGCCGTTAATAAAATATTGGTGCCGTTGGAGTGCTAATTTAGGAAAAATATAGCGTTGGAATTTTACTGATCTACAGAAATCTGTAGAAATGTACTACCGGTCGTCCGCTCTCTCAACCGGTCTGCCATCTGGTGAACTTCGGTTGACAACCTCTTCTGTTCAAACAGCCGGCCTGTTAGCCGGTTCGTCAACCTGTAGCTCAAAAATTCATCTGAATAATTCCGTTAAAGCATGTATTGAGCTTACTATAGATATTAAACTTTGAATTGATCAAGAGACTTTAAGTGATTTTACAAGATTGAGAAAATTAGTCCGAAAATGACTTGGCGATAAATATAAAAACATCATCAAAATATTTAATCTGATTTTCCGACAATCATCAAAAAAATATATAATTGTAATACATATAATTTTCCAACAAATTAATATGCATACATTTTTCCAACAACTTTAATTACTACTTTGCCACTAAAAATGCAAGGAATAACTTTTGAACTAAAGAAATGATAGATAAGTTTTTGTTTGTACTTAAGTTTTTAAATACTTGAAATATTTCTCTTTAAAGTTGATTTTATCTTTTCAAAAACAATTATTCGTCAATTATATTTGAAAATATTTTCAAATACTTGTAATACTTATGGTTAAAAAGTTCGCATCAAATTCCTGTAAAACTCAAAGCAGGCCCTAAGCGTGAACAAATTGCATACAAAATCAACATATTTTAACCTCTCCTATGTGTGCAAACATTTTATCATGCAATCTAGTAAAAAACTCAAACAAGACAATTTCCTCACTAATTTGTATATTTCTTACCAGTCTCACCTCATTGTCAATCCTCTAACATCAAACATGATTTTAATTTGTTGGAATCATATACTCTCAGAAATTAAATGTTCTTTTACTATTTGTCTCGTCCAATATGCACAGGCTAGTTGGGTAAGGGCCGGGGGGAAAAATTACACTGCAAAGAGCTAAGGTCCACCACCCGTCGATGGTCTCATGAGCCATGGTTCATGGGGTTGTGGGTCAGGCAATTTTATTTAGGCCTTGACCAATTCGAATTGATGACTTTATAATTTTACCTGAACATACCTTCACAAGCTGTCAATATGTCCGAGTGGTTAAGAAACAGACTTGAAATCTGTTAGGCTTCGCCTGCGCAGTTCGAACCCTGTTGTTGACGATTGTATTCCCTCTTTATATCATTTTCCAGTTATCTAATCCCCTATTTCCTTTGTTACCTCTCCTTCTTCAGCCTTCTTCCCCTTTCCTTCCAAATTTGAGGCTTGGTGGCTTCAAAACACTTTGGCCACAGAAATCATCAAATACATTTGGAATTTGCCTCTTCCTGGTTCCCCTCTCTTTAAAGTAGTAAGCCGTAATAAAATCATGCTCAGAGTTGTGAAGCTTTGGGCCAGAGAGAGAAAGGACTTTATTCCTGTTAAAATAAAAATGATTCGATCTCAGTTATGCAGCGTCCTTGAGAATATCTCCTCTTCCAACCTCTCGCTTGAAAAATCTTTACGAAAGGAACTTGATTCTCTTTTGGAACAAGAGAGATATTCTGGGCTCAAAGAGCTAAACAACATTGGCTGGCTCTTGGGGATTCTAATACTAAAGTTTTTCACTCTATGACGAAAGCAAAAAGAGCCAGAAGTCATGTTTGGCAACTAACCTCCTCCTCTGGGCATGTCTTGAAGGATGAATCTGATATTAGGACTGAGTTTCACCATCATTTCAAATCCTTATATTCTTTATCTTCTCTCTCTTCCTTAGATTCACTACAATTCTTTGTTCCTTTCTCCATTCTCTCTGATGATCAGTTGGTTGTATTAAATCTTCCATTCCAAGCTTGGGAGGTTACAAAAGCTCTTTTCCAAATGGCTCCCTTAAAAGCTCCAGGACCTGATGGGATCCCTCCAATTTTTTATCAAAAACATTGGCCCCAGCTTTCTGTTCAAATCACTTCAGTTGTCCTTTCCTTCCTCAACTTTGGGAGATTACTTAGAGAAGTTAACCAAACCTTTATCGCTCTCATTCCAAAGAATGGCAACCCAATTTCTGTTGACCACCTTAGACCTATTAGCCTGTGCAATGTCATCTATAAACTCATTTTTAAGGTCTTAGCTAACAGAATCAAAATGGTCATTAGCTCTTTGGTTTCTCCTTTTCAAAATGGTTTTATCCCTAGTCGTGTTATTTCTGATAACACTTCCATTGCCCAAGAACTTACTCACTTTGTTAGAAATAAAAAGAAGGGCTCTGATTGCTATGCTTCTATCAAATTGGATATGAGTAAGGCTTTTGACCACATCCGATGGGATTTTTTAGAGCGAGTTCTGCAACTCTATGGTTTCTCACAAAAATGGATTCTTTCAATCATGCAATGTGTCTCTACAGTCTTTTATTCTGTCCTTGTCAATGGGTCTTACACCCTATTTTTTCATCCTTCACAAGGCCTTCGTTAAGGGGACCCTTTATCCCATTATCTCTTTGTCCTCTGTGTTGATATCCTATCATCTATGATAAGTTCAGCAAAGGACCAGGGTTTCATTGAAGGGATAAAAGCTTCACAACTTGGTCCTTCAATCACTCACCTATTGTTTGCTGATGATAGTTTCCTTTTTCTCAAAGTTTCTGAATCTAGCGTCTATTCTATCCATTCTATCCTGGAAACTTATTGCCAACTCTCAGGCCAGGTTGTTAACTTCCACAAATCATGCATATTCATCAACCCAAACTCTCCGCCTTCCTTTTATCCCTTCATATCCTCTGCTCTTAGCATTCCCAATTCTTCTTCCTTTGGGAAATATCTTGGGATAAACTTGGATTTGGCCACTAAGAGGAGAGAGATCTTCCAAGATATCATTTCTAACATTGATGAGAGATGTCAAGGCTGGGTTTCATTACTCCTTAATAAAGCTCCTTAATAAAGCTGGGAAGCTTTCCTTAATTAAACACATTCTTACTTCCTTGCTTGTCTATCACATGTCTTGTCTCAAATTCCCATCCTATGTCACTAAGAAAATCTCTTCCATTTTTTCTAATTTCCTTTGGTCTGGTGACGCTAACAAGAAATCATTCCATTCAAAGAATTGGGACTCTCTTTGTTACACAAAATCTAAAGGGGGTTTGGGTATTAAAGACTTCAACTTTTTAACCAAGTCCTCCTAGCCAAGTGGGGATGGAGAATTCTGGAAAATCCCAACTGTCTTTTCTCGTCCTTTTTCCTCTCAAAGTTCTGTCCCTCCATACTTTTCTTAGAAGTCAAATCATCATCTTCTAGTTCTTGGGCCTGGAAGAGTATTCTTTTCGATAGAGATGTTCTTATCAAGGGTATTAGATGGCAGGTTGGTGCGGGGAATAAAATTTCTAGGCTTCCATATCCTCTTCCAATTAAACTGCACTCCTGTCTTTCTGATGACGCACCTCTCAATACCTTCCTTTCTCTTAGAAATGCTACTGTTGATAAACTTTTCATCCTTGCGACAAGAGAATGGAATCAGCATCTCCTTTTTTCTCTCTTCCCTCCTGATGTCTGTGCTCGTATCAGGATTGTCTAAATTCTAATTTTCGTTTAAGCTTTTTTCACTAACCTTCCTTAAGATGACAACTCTATGGCTTCTAAACTGATTACTAGACCATAACTGCAGATTTGCTTGCCGTTGTGAACCCCTGACCCACTGCCGGAGCTCTCTCGCATTTCAGTGACATCAAAACCGCAAGCGACAATGATTTGGCATGTTCCGATTTAGTAATAAATTTGTAAGTGGGTCATATTCCTCTCCCGTGATTTTTATTTCTCTCTTTTGCTCTTGGTTCATATTTCCATGGCATTTCCTTCTCCATTGAGATTTTTGTGTTTGTGGATTAATAGTTTTCTGGAATGTTTTTGGTGTGCAATTTTAACAAAGTAGTCAAACAAACTTTAATTTAATTGTTATTGATTTTGTAGGCATAGTTTGTTAGTTTGTTTATGTGTTGATTCAAGAAAACCGGTGATATACTTGACCCATTTTTTTTTTGTGTATTTGGAATTTTGCGGATGGGGCCTTGGACTTCAAGAGGTTAGAGGGACAAAATTGAATAATTTGTTGAATTCCGATTTCGAGCCTTGCCTTCAGGCACGGGCATGCACTGTATACATACTCCCTCCGTCCCAAATTCTTGGTTCTCTACGGTTTTACGTGCAATTTTCAATTGCCTATATCTCTCAATATATATAGTTTTTTTTAATGTTTTTGAAAACATTGTTTTATAGAAATAATTGAAATCTATCAAATAAGATCCATATTGCATATTTTAAACAATATACACAGAGAGATATAGGCTATTGAAAATTGCACATAAAACCGTAGAGAACCAAGAATTTGGGACGAAGGGAGTACATAAATAGCACTACGAATCCAGTGAGGGATCCCTTATTTTGTTAAAATACGGACCTCCCTTTTCTTGATCAAATTTCGATGATCCAAACCGTTCAATGTGTTAGATTGTGATTTTAAAGGTCCCCATGATGAATCAATAAAAAATAAAGACCAGGAAATGCCTCATCCTAGCAATTTTCATTGGTTCAATTAAAAACTGCTCGAACGAAGCACTTCCTGGTCTTCTTTTTTGCTGATTTCTAGCGAAGACCCTTAAAATCACGTTCTGAATACATTGAATGATTTGGATCATTGAAATTTGATCGAGAAAGGAGAGGTCTGTATTTTAACAAAATAAGGGATCCCTCATAGGATATGGACTGCATAACATAGAATATGTATAAACATACATGTACATAGCCGATAAAAAAAAACATTTACATGTACATAGTGAAAATTTTATAACTCTTATATATATGTACTTAAAGGTATTACAAACTTATATTTTTACATGTTTTTATAATCTCATGTATGTATGATATAATCTACGTACAAAGTAATTTCTTTTAATTATTTTCACCGTTTTTGGTGAAAATAATTGCAGCTCTAGATCACTATATGAGAGTATAAATATATGATATTTCTGACTCGTTAAGGTTAGTGAACAAGCTTGAGTTTGATTCAAATTTCAAACCTACGCAAGCTCAGCTCATCTAATTTATATTAAGCTTGAGCTTGAGTTCGATTCAAATTTCAAACCTACGCAAGCTCGGCTTGTCTAATTTATATTAAGCTTAGAGCATCCGCATTGTAATAAGTAAATAGGTGTGGTTAAGCAAACTTAACAACAATGCTAAAAAAATATCTCACATTGTAATAAGCAAAGTTACAAGTCTTTTAGCAAATAACCAAATTCAACTCATTCCATAACCAAACTTAACAACTTTTACCAATAACCAAAACTCAATAACCAAACCCAATAACCAAACTCAAAAATCAATAATTTAAAAACACCTCACATTGGAATCGTCTCATCGAGACGAATAATTTGGTGTGGTCGGGTGCGTGATTGGAACTCGTTTACAATTAGACATAGGTGCATTGTGTATTGTGGGGTTTTTTTGGTTAGGGATGTAAAAATAACCAATGTGGAGGTAGAGATTGTTAAGTTTGATTATGAACTAAATGGATGATCAAATACTGACGTGGCACATTTTGATTATTGATTTTGATTATTCCCATTGCGGATGCTCTTAATCTCAAGTTCTATTTTGCTAAAAGCTTAACAAACGAGACTGAATCTTCTTAAGCTCCAGTACTCGATTTGGCTCGTTTGCGGCCTACTTATGTTTGAGGAGAAACTTTTCAGTGCCGGGTGGCGTACCACACGGTGCCTGCTTGGCACATCCGAGCCGTCCGATGCGATTTTGGACGGCTCAAATTTGGAGAGAGAAAATGGAGAGAGAAAGAGGAGGGGTGAGAGGACAAAGAAGGTTTCAATTTGAGTCGTCAAAAAATGCATCGGATAGCTCAGGAGTGCCGAGTGGATACCATGTGGGATATACCGGCTCGGCACTGAAAAATTCCTAATGTTTGAGGCTCAGCCTACGGCCTACAATGAGTATATTGCTTGCATAGCTACTTTTAGCCAAATGAAAGTAAAGTTATCAACCCTCCCAATTTATCACAATTTTGGGAAACAGTTCAATAAAAAAAATTGAAGTCCAAATCCCTGCATTTCCTTGGATAACTTCTCTGGCAAATTCAACGACAATGAAAAGGAGAGGCTATTTGTTCATTCCATTTTGTTCTCCCT